TTCTCATTCTCATTCTCATTCTCATTCTCTTTCTCTCCAGAACTCGATCGAAGAAAATGGTTTTTTCAGGAGGCTACGCTACAGTTGGGGCAGCTGCATTTTCCGGTGCTGTGACCCATACGATATCCGTGAGCGTTATCGTGTTCGAGATGACCGGTCAGATCACTCACATCGTCCCAATCATGATCGCCGTGTTGATCAGCAACGCCATTGCCGCCCTTCTTCAGCCCAGCATATACGACAGTATCATTTTGATCAAGAAGCTGCCCTATCTTCCAGACCTGTTGCCATCCAGTTCAGGTAAACCGTATATCTTGATAATTTCGATCTCGATTTCTAAACTTTTCTTTCGTTATTTTTAACGAGTTTCTCCCAAAGGAAGTTTCATAAGGTAGGTAGAATGACGAACACGCGTCGAAATACACGTCGATCGATTTGGGAAATAAAAATTGTTACGCGAGAATCGTGCGTATGTTGCAGGAATGTACAACGTGTACGTGGAAGATTTTATGGTTCGTGACGTAAAGTATATCTGGCATGGAATCTCGTATCAGAGGTTGAAAGAAATTTTAAAGGAAAACCGCAAGCTTCGCGGTTTTCCCCTGGTCGACAATCCCGACTCGATGATCCTGCTTGGATCTATCCAGAGATTGGAGTTAATCAAGCTGATCGAGAAGCACATAGGCCGCGAAAGGAGGTTGCAGGTGCTCTCTCCTACTCTACTCTACTCGTCCATCCATTGCAAATTTCCTCCCTTATCGATGTTATCGATTATCGAATTTTCTTTCAGGTGGCACAAAAGTGGCACAAGGAGGCCGAGGAGAGGGCGCGGGAGGAAATGGAACGACAATTGAGGGATCAGGAGAGGACGAGGCGACCGTCCAGGTTCGAAGTGATCCCTGCTCCGGATATTCTTAAGATGCAGAGGCAAAGTGCTAACGATTTAACGATGTCTCCAAACAACGGTGCCGCTTCTGATCACGTGAGTCACGTAAATGAGCACAATTATGAACATTTATCCAATTAAGTAAGCGCGACGATGGTGGTACGACATCTTGTTTCCTCTCGTTTACACGACTATCTCTTTCTCCCTCTCTTTCTCTCTCTTCCAGCACACCTACCATTCCCCTATATTTGGCTCGCAACCGAAGAAATCGATCTTGAAGAAGACCAATTCCTTCACGTTGAAAGGATTCAGCCCGTTGGTGAGCCCTGCTGCTACTCCTTACACCACTGTGACCGGTGCGGAGAGCAGGTAAAAAGAAATTTTACATTCTAAACAATTCTTCAAATTTGATTTGACAGAGAAAATATATATATATATATATATCTCGTCGTTTTCAATCTCAGGATCCGTCTTGCCTTCGAGGCGATCTTCCGCAAGTCAGCCACTTTGCAAGACGTGGATCCAGATCCAGAGATAGGAGCCGGTGCTGGTGTCAGGCGTGACAGTCAAGAGGTACCGCCGCACACTCCGATGCTGGCTCCAAGTCCTGCCACCTCGAAGAAAGTACAACTGGTGCGCGGTTAATTTAATTTATAACGTCCCTTTCTAATTCATCGCAGAGTAGAAATATAAATAAAATTTGTGAACGCGATCAGCCTCGCGAGAGGGTGATAGACATGTCGGCAGAGGACCAGAAACGATGGGAGGAAAGCGAAATGTCGTTGGAGGTGGATTTCTCGAGGTGTCACATCGATCCAGCACCCTTCCAGCTGGTCGAGCGAACATCTTTGTTGAAGGTTCACAGTCTGTTCAGCATGGTGGGGGTGAATCACGCTTACGTGACGGCTATCGGGAGGCTGGTCGGGGTTGTAGGATTGAAAGAGGTTCGTTCTTGTTCTCGAAGAGACACCTCTTCTGTACTGTTCTGTACTGCAAATTTATTTCTTTTTTTTTCGTTTGTTCGTCAGCTGAGGAAAGCGATAGAGGACGCCAACGCTGGAATCTTGCCCATGCATTGTGAATCCCACATAGGCGTATCCACGTCGAGCATAGCCAAGAGCGAAACGGACACGGAAAGCAAGAATGTCAGCACGATGAACTCTATTGCTTCCGTTGATTGCGAGAAAGTCGAAAAAGTCTGAGTGAAAGTAAGAGAGAGAGAGAGAGAGAGAGAGAGAGAGAGAGAGAGAG